GCACGTATAATCCAGGATTGGGTCCTGAGAGTAGTTACGCCTTGATCGTGCACGGAATGGCGTGGCGTGGTTTTTTGTTTTAAAGGGAACAGGAAAGACGTAGATGAAACATGTATGTTTTTCGTGTTTTCCTCTGTTTTAAGGAGCAGCAGAGACATAGATATAGATGTATGTTTCTGGTGTATTTCTTGTTTGTGAACACACGCACGACACTAACATAAACACACCTCATAATAAAAGAGCAAAGCACTAAGTAGCAGGATTTAAAGGACGTTGAGATCCAAGAATAGCCCTGGTCCGAGAAAAGCCCTAAATAGCCAGTGCATCCCAGGGCAAAAGCAGCGATGCTGGCGTTCTGGGGATGGTGAATTACTGATCAAGGAAGGGAGTTCACAAGGTCTCGTTTCTTGCCTGTGAACAGTGCAGGCCTCTCTTAAGACTCTGAGAGGCATTTAGATCTGGAGGTAACAGACACCTTTAGTTGAATAAGTGCAGGAATGCACAGGATTTCAAAGTGAAAGCATCCCCCTACTTTATGAGCTGTTACCTCACACACGACAAAGTAACTCTTAAAGAAACTGAACATGTGTGCTAACTGGTGGTTTGGGAGAGTAGTGTAAGGATCCGTTTATATATCGGAAAAGTGTAAAGGAGGAAAAATATAAGAAGAAGCTGAGTTTGTCAGAAGGAGTTTGGGGCAAAGATGCAAGTGCTTCCTAAGGTGGACCATCAGTGTGCTTGTTAGGCCTGAGGAGCATTACTGGGGATGGTATCAATACATCCCGGGTGTTGGCATATCTATCAGCCAAAAAATGATCATCAGAGTTGGGTCAATATTGCTATTCCAAGATCCTGACGATAGATCTCCACATGGCTGAGGTCTGCGTTTGGGTCCTGGGGTAGGACTTTATTTATTTGTAGGATTAGGATTATTTTATATGTATAATTGTAACTATCACTTGTACAAAAACATCAATCACATCTAAACTGTTATAACCGTGGAACGCACAATGTCATGGTAATGCATGCCTGTACATCTAGAAAGGAAAGATCTGCCCTGACATTGTAGTGTAAAAAATAGGCAGTACTGACGTATGCCATATTTTATAAGGGGGGAATGAAGTAAAAGTAAAGATGGGGGTTAAATTAAGTCCTTTCTGCTTGAAGATTAGACTTCTAAGCAACAAGAGTTTATGGCAGATAAGGGAGAACTGATAAGGAATCCAGATGCGAGCTAGGAGAGCTAGGTAACTCCCTGGGGACTTAATTCCTGACCATTTGGCCAAAAAGCTGTTATTGTTTACCATATTAACATAATAACATAATTTACCACAATAACAAGTGACGTCAAAAGTGGAAATGAAAGGATATATAAACCTAAAGTTTGTACCAGCACTTTGAACAATATTTTGGTTTTGTTGTTTCTTGTGGGAAACAAGACTTTGGCTTAATTGTTCCTTGCATGCAATAAACTCATCTGTTTAACTTCATCTCGGGATCCAGAACCTTATTCTTTCTGTTACAACAAAGTGTAGTCTGTCACAAACTCCTTAGGTTTAAAATGCAAGTTTAAATGAATTTAAATGGACCATTTTTTCCCTTCAGCACAATGTTCAGCAGGTGACAATTTAAAGAGACAAAATATACTGCATAGGGAGCCTGTGAAAGAAATGGAGTGTTTTAGTCCTGGACAAAGCAGGCTATGAGTGGACCTGATACAGGGACACCTATTTCCTGTGATACATAAGGCTCTACTTCATCCTCTTACATCTTCTGCATCATGTGCTTATCTGCTGAAAATTGTGACTAACCTGTAATGTAGTTAGGTCAGGGAAAGACCTCAATGATCTGTTATGGTGAACTGCTAAAAAGTACAGTATTTCAGGACCCTGTGCGGTGATCTCCGAGCGTTAGGCATAAAATCCAAATCGCTAGGCAAAGACGTAGTCGTTATGCAGGCAAAAATCCCAAACACAAAGGTTCAGAATTAGGAAGTCAATGAGAACAACAGGCGAGGTACAGTAGGAGCTCCGGAGGAGAAACCAATACCGAGCGCTGACTGAGGGTTTATGAGGAGTGGAGATTAGGGTGAGTTAAGTGAAGGACAGCTGAGATTGATTGATTAACACATGCTTTGTGGAATTAGCCAGCGCTGGGGACTGGTTAGAGCATTTTCTGGTAACAGGTTTCTGATTCCTGGTCGTGACATGATCTTAATAATAATATTAATAATAATAATATTAATAATATTTTATTATTTACTGTGTATTTATTTTGTGTTTCATGTGTTGAACAGTACAGTGTAGGGTAATGCATTGTACAGTAAATTGTTATGGTTATTGGATCGAGGTGTCTAAGAAGACAGTGGTTAACATCTATCTACTGAAAACATTCATGCAGATCTCAGAAGCTTTAAAGCAATAAAGAAACTGAGGTGTATGCTGCGTTGTAGGAGTACAGAGACACACTGATCAAAGGAACTGTCTGGTTAATTAAGTTAGAGGTAAATCATTAAGAGTCACCAACAATCCAGGAAAACAGTTTACAAAAACAGAGATAGAAGGAGACAAGGGGAAGAACACAGAAGAGGAAAAAGGAGACACCAGAGGCAAGACATGCTTGTCCAGATTACTGTAACCCATAAACACAAGATTCTAGTTATTTGAACCTTACTAGGAGAGTTTGCCATTCTGTTGTTTTTAGGAAACTCTGATTTCCTGGATAGAGAATCCCTTAGCTAAAAACAATCTCTCCTGGTTAGAAGATACATTTTTTTTAAATAAGGAGACAGTTCCATTCACAGATTCCCATTCCCTCAAGAAGGCAGCAGTTACTCAGCTACAGTTTCACATAAGTTCCCACCAACTCACTGGTACTGACCAGAGTAAGGAAATCAGATTATATCATCCCTAGTCTAGCAAAGCATCATCTCAGACAAGCAATTTCCACCCAGAACTTTAAAATAGATCTTATAACCCTTCTTTACCAGCAAGCCTCTCAACTTCTGGTACTATAAACTCATTTGCTATCTATTTTGTTTTTAGTTCTTAAGTTCCCTGACTTCTTTTTTTAGCTTTTCTTTTATGTCAAGCATATTGAGATTTATTGGAATGCAATATCCTAAATAATAATAATAACAATAATAATGCTTTTTAATTATTGACTATCCTGCTAAGTATTTTCTGTAAATATCTATTTTTGTTACAAGATAACAACATTATACATTTAATAAACGATAATACTCAAACTCCAATGTTTATTGTATTTACAGGATAGTATATCTTTATATATTTGTATTTTAAGTTACATTATGCTATATTTGGAATTTTATTATTTTAATTATAGGATTTTAAAACTTTTTTTCATTTTTCACTTTCTACCTCTACATCAGCAGGGGAAGTTTCTCTTTCTACCCCTACCTTGCAAAAGCAAGGGCTTGTAAGGCCGCAGCCAGTTATAGCCGAGAGGGTGGTGCTGTGTCTGAAGCACAAGAGTGACAGAACAACCAGGAGACCCGACTGATTGAAGGCTCAGATGCTCCTGGACAGAGAAGAAGTGAAATTGGAAACAGAAAATGATAAAAGAATAACTGATAACTGACCGATGGGGCTTAATAAGCCCAAGCCAGAATATGATGAAAAAGAAAATTAAAAAGTCAAACAGCTGGTCCCAGCTAGTCAGCTAGAGAAGAAACCAAGTGAGACAACCGCCTGGGAGATGCCAGCTGTTTGTATCCCTGGTGACCAACAGGCTAGCCCCAAATTAGACTGCTCATCCCAGTCCTCCACTGGGACCTTCGGGTCTGGAACAGAACTGGCTACTAAGCCCCCAGAAGGAAAGGTGGCCGCAAGGCTCTGGTAGGCAGCACTTCAAGTAGCCAGGGGTGCTCGCCGGCAAGCCCACAGGCTGATGTACTGGACAGGAAAGGGGAAAGCAGTCTCCTCAGAACACAGCTGTGCCTTTACCTGGAGGCGTAACTGAGAGGATGGGCCCCACCAAAACCGGTGAGTCAGGAAACCCCCGCACATCGGACCACTCAGTGGGCCCAGGAGCTGGTGATTCAAGGCACATGCTCTATGGAGGATTTCCTCCAAGACTAGGCCAGGTGGGCCCTGACATGGTTATTATAGAATTAATAGTTATTAGAGATTTTAGAGCTGTTATTAAAGATTTCTAAAAATCTTCCTTTTGCTTTCACCAAGACAATAAGACCCAAAACAATGGGTCAGACGTCACTAACCTTCCAATTTGTATGATCAACCAATGAGGGACCTAGAGGGCATCAAGATATATCTACTGACATCCCAGTCAATCAACAACTGTGATTTCCTGTTTTATAAGGTAGCACACAAGTTATTTAATTGGTTTGCTCACTGGCTCAGCTTTTCCCTCTCCAGCTAACCTGGCAATCTGACTGTTTTCATCACATGACAGCAAGCAGTCTGAGTCAGGACTTGTTTAGAGACGTTAGGCTGAGAGAGTGCAACAGTAAAAAACAGAAGAAATCTTTTTTCGTGAGACAGTTATGTTTTGCCTTTTCGGTTCTTTTGGGTTCTTTAGTCAGACGAGTTTGATAAAATATTTCAGGAAAATAAATACACATTTACCTGTCAATGAGAATATGAATGTGAATGTGATTTAACCACTGATATATGATATATAAAATATACTGATATGAGATTCATATACCCTATGAGATAGACGATAACAATAGTTGATATATATTTAACTTTGTTGTTATTGGCTTATATTTAATCCCTGAGTAACAATCAACAATTCATATTACAGCAGACAGATACACAAATATATTCTTTGACTCTTGTTGGGTTGTAATGCATGTTTTAGTGTTGTATCAATAAAGTGTATATTGCATATTTAGAATCCATGTGTGAGACTTTAAATTATTATGTTTAATTGAGTCTTGCAGTAACAGTCGTCAAAACACACTCACACACTGACCTAGTCTGTCCTTCTCCTGAGAGACATGCTCATACACTTACCTGTTTGGTCAGTCTTCTGAAATCCTCCTGTGTAGAAATTCTCAAGTTCATCTGTAAGGTCACTCACAGCTCTTCCCACATCCTGATCATGAAGAGCAGAGAAAGGGGTTGAGACTTCAGGAAGAGGCAGAATTGGCAGAGTGTAAAGAAATCAATAGATCTAAAATTTTCATAGAAAGAGAAGGACAACATCCATAGTGATAACAGTTCCGCTGTAAGAGTAAGAGACCATCCCTCGGTGTTTCTGTACTGAGATACTGAGTTCTGGTCACTAATGCTTTACACTGAACAGTACATGTGAAATAGAACAGCACACAGACACTCAGCTGCCATCAGTGATGAGTGTGTATTAATTCAGTCACAATGGTCACTACAGATCTCTGTGAGCTCAGGGAAGAGATGGCACAGCACAGAGTCACTTAGCCCTTAGAGTTTCACTGAGAATCAGCAGGTGAAAAGAATGTCAGTATTCAGCACAGGTCTGATCTCATATAGCAGATGAGTGACTGAAGCCTCTTACCTGTGTCTGTTGCTCTTCTGACTTAAAGATGGTGTCATGTCCCATGTGTTCCTGCACTGAACACAGACTGCAGATGAGAGTCTGGTCAGTCTTACAGAACACCTCCAGAGCTCTGTGGTGCTGCTGACAGAGTCTGGGCTCCTGGTCTCCACTGATGTCCACCAGTCTGTGTTTCTGCAGGGCTGGGACCGTGTAGTGCTGTCGGACATGTGTCTCACAGTAGGATGCTGGGCAGACATGACAGTATTTCACAGCTCTCATCTTCTTGTCAGTGCAGAAATCACAGGACACATCCCCTTGCCCAGCAGACCTATGAGCAAAGGCAATGTAAATCCTCACATTGTACCTTTATCTTAGAGTCATAAAGCCCTCCTGACACTCACTATATCGGTCCTTAAAAAAATACAGGTTTAAGAATTCAGGACCTAAGAAAAAAGAGAGGAACAGACCCATAAAGAGTTCAAGACAGGAAGGGGGGAAAGATACAGCTCAGGACAGGAGGAGAGATTGAGATGCACACAAACACAGAGCTGAGGACAAGAGTAGAAACACACAACCACATATAGAGCTGAGGACAGGAGGAGATTCACACCCACAAAAAAGTAAAAGTAAATTGACTTTGTCATGTGAACGTATTGTAATTCTGTTGCAGTTGCATGTTTTCTTCATGTGGAATGTGTGTTTTTCTTAAACGCTGTCCTGTGATGGAGTCTGTCCTCACAGAAAGGGAGTGAAGGGGGTGTAATGAACAATGACGAAGCACTGTTAAAGTGGTGCCTCGGCATTAAATAGGGAAAGAGAAATTGAGAAACGAATGGGATTGTCAAAAGACATCACTATCCTGCTCGTTTTGCCATTATCTGTTTTCTACATTATCTGGGCAACAAGCTAGGGTTATGAGATACTTGTGTGTGACATTTTGTTGTGGATAAATCACTGCACATGAGCCTAAACACATCTTGACCTAGTGAGACCTTGATCACGTGGTCTGCTAGCCAGACAATTGGATGTCTCTTTCTGATTCATGTCCATCAGAATGGACAATCAGATAATCCAGGTTGTTCATGTTCTTACTCCTGCACTGGGTTG